CTCCCCTTGCCATCCCCCACCGCTCCTCACAGTCTCCAGATCCCCCAACCCGGACTCCACTCCTGCTTGACCCCATACCCTGATGATGGGGCCCCCGCTCCCCTAAGAGTACCCCTCCACACTCACATCCCTAAACTGCCCATTCTCGGAGGGCTCCCCACCTTCTCTACATACATCAGGGATCAATAAATATTTGTTGCTGGACTCTACACCCTCAAATTGGATTGTGAGAGCTATAGATTCTTGTGCTGTACCCCCACCCAACACACACAAACACACACACACACCTTCCCCCAAGGCACAGGTGCATAGAGTCACTAGCGGGCCCTGCAGGTGCAGATATCCCCACATATACATACGCTCCAGACCCGACCTGCCTGAGCGTACAGTTTCACAAACACACTCAGCTACACATACATATCACACGGGTGCACCAGAGCATACATGCAGCACAGCGAGCACTTTATGCGCCCCACATGTGGCATGCACCCCAGTATGCATGCTCCGATCACCAGCTCACAAGCAACCCAGAAACAGAGACACACACTGTAGGGAGATATGTGCACGCGTCCCCATCACACTCACCCACCTCATCATCCATCACACAGGTGTGCACATGTCCATTTAGATGCACAGTGCCAGGCCATTGCTCCCCTGCATGATAATTATTGCTGGCATTTCTTGAGCACTTCCTGTGTGCCAGGCTCTGTTCTGCATTTACTCATCAACTTCTCCCACCAATTCCATAGGCTAGGGACAGTCACCATTCCCATTTTCCAGAGGGGTAAACTGAGGCACAGAGAGGCTAAGCAATTTACCCAAGGTCACCAGCTTTAAAGAGGCGGTGCCAGAGATCAGGGGCAGGTAGGCTGGCTCAAAGTCTTCACACTGCTATTGTTCACTATGGGACATACAACAGTTGTATATCCTTCTTCACAGCTCAGTTTGCTGGGGCCCAGGAAGCACCCACAGAGACAGGCAGATCCCATAGGGCAGAGATCGAGTGTCCCTGTAGCCGACTCCTACCCTTCACCCAGCTCCAACAGCACCTCCAGGGGTGACAGCTGGAGCACAGGCACCTGCAGAGGGCAGGTCTAGGCAGCCTCTGAAGGCAGCTCCAGCTGCGGGCTCTGGGGTACCACTGCATTCTGAAGACAGCTCCAGCTGCGGGCTCTGGGGTACCACTGCATGAGCTGGAGCAGGTGCCAGCCCAGCTCTGGGAGGCCCCCCTTTTGATGTACACCCACCATCCCAGGTGGTGAGCAGCTGGGACCTGGGAGAGAACAGCTGCCCATGTTGGTGCCAGCAGTGTGAGAGGCTGTGCACCTCTGTATAGTTTACAAAGCCTTTCCCCCGGCCTCTGCAGTATCTCTGGAGGCGTCTAGCTGCTGGTAAGGGGGCCCAAACTCCTAATGGGCATCTGAGAGGTCTAGGCTCTGAGATGGTGAGCAGCCTGCCCAAGGTCATACTGCCCTCTGCATTCTTGGAAAACGGAAGCCTGGACATGTTGATTTCCAAGGCCCATCATGGGGCTCCCAACAGCTGAGGGCAGGTTCCCTGCTGTTGCTTAGAGCCAGAGGCCTTGGCTAGCTGCCTCCATGCTGGTGATCTCCAGCAGACTGAGCTGTTCCCTCTCTGAGAAGCCTTGGTTTTCTCCCTTGAAGAGTGGCCCCTGCCATCCCTGGCTGGTGAGCTCCATTCTCACTGGCACAACCAGCTGCACTGAAGCTGGGAAAGCCCTGCATGAGTCACAGGTTTGGCACAGAGTGGGCATGGCATGGCCTCTCACTTCCCTTGCCTGTGCAGCCCTCACCACCTCTACCCTGGCTACCTGTGAGCCCCTCTCCCATGCCCCTATGCCCCTGCTTCAGGGAAGTCGGGGTGCCACCTAAACACAATAGTCAAACATTCGGTCTTTTGGCTGTTACCCTGCCACGAATGGCTACTTCCTTCCTCACTCAACAGACTGATTGAGCACCTACTATGTGCTAGGTTGGCCCTGTTCTAGCTCTGGGGACACAGCAAAGAACAAGAATGTCTGCCTTCATTGGCAGGAGATAGACCACAAACAAGTAAACAAACAGGACAATGCCAGTCTTGAGTATACCAGAAAGATAAAATGGGGTGCTTTAATAAAGTAACTTGTGGAAGCACAGCTTCTTAAGACGGTAGGTGAGGTGGGGGGAGGCCTCTCTGATCTGAGATTTCAGTAATGAGAAGGGACTGGAGACAGACTTCTAGAAGGAGGAAAAGGCTAGTGCACAAGCTCTGAGGTGGGAAGGAGCTTAGCATTCAGGAAATAGTGAAGAGGCAACCCACAGTGTGGCTGCAGCCTGGGGAAGTGGGGGTGATGAGCTTGCAGAGATGCAAAGTACCCACCTTTCCCAGCCCCCTGCTGGGCAGCCCAGGCCTTGAGCAGAGGACAGGGTTTGGCTTTCCTCCTGCCTGTGATGGGAAGCTGGGGGAGCAGGGGAGTGGGGAGTGACGTGATCTGATTTACAGTTTGGAAGCATTGCTCTGGCTGCGGCAAGCTGCGTGGATTGGAGGGGCTTGGGAGGAAGGAGGGGGAGAGCAGGAGGAGGTGACTGCAGTGGTCCAGGCAAGAGATGCACCTCGCTGACTGCTCAGAGCTCTCTACCTCCCCAGCCCAGCGTCTGTCTACTCCACCTCCTGGAGAAAGCTTCCCTGACCACCCACTCACCCATCCTCTTCCCACCCCTCTGCCCCAGCCCCTCACCCAGTGGGACAGTCTTGCTGCTGGTCTGGAGTCCCCAGAGTTGCCTCACCCACAGCCCGGCCTGCAGGAGGCTTCCAGGAAGTACAGCAAATGAATCCCAGGGCCCCGCCTCCTGCTGCAAGCACAGCTGCATGTGTGGTCTTCATATGTGTTCCACAGACAGGCCCACACACTCACTTGCATCTTGGGGCAAGGGCTTGGAGGGCAGGATAGGAGGTGTGGGGGCAGAAGGTGTCCAAGAGGCTGAGAATGGTGGGAAAGTCTCCTCTAGCAGGGTGTGTGGGCGATGGTGGCCACAGAGTAATAACCTTAGAGAGACCCTGTAGTCTCCCCCTTTCTGCGGATTGGTCAGGGGGACAAAAGGGAGCAGGGCCAAGCCCCAACAATTCCCTAATGGGGTTCCCAGGAAGAGGCTGTCTCCCCAAGGTCCCTTGGAAAGCTGGCTCCATCCTCTTCCTAACTAACCATTGGAGCTTTTGGCCTGGGCAGAAGAAAAGAGCAGGGCGGAAGTGAGCTCTGGAAAGTGGGAAGAGGGGGGTGTGTGGGGAGACCCAAGGCGGGATCCAGGCTTTGGAACGTTGGAGGTTTCCGGCCACAGAGGCAGGGCCTCAGGGGAGCCAAGAGAGGCGGAGAGAGACACACACTGAGGAGCAGAGACTGACGAACAGAGACAGGAATTGGAAGGAGAGGGACCAGAGAGAAGCTGGAAGAGGCAGGGACTAGGGGGCTGGTGATCTGCACACATACTCCAGTTCCCAGACATCTCCTCCTCAAGACATCCATCTGAAGTCTTGGGTGCTGCAAGCCCAGCCTGATGCAGTCAGCCTGGTTCCTGGGGGCCCTAGTGGTCCCCCAGCTCCTGGGCTTAAGCTCTGGGGCTAGAGGAGCTGAGAGGGAGTGGGAGGGGGGCTGGGGAGGCGCCCAGGAGGAGGAGCAGGAGAGGGAGGCCCTGATGCTGAAGGTGAGTTGGGGAGTGCTGGGGCTCTGTGGGGAAACTGTGGGCTAGGGGGCGGGTATTCCAGTGTTGGGGAAATGGACAAGGGGGAGTGATGGGATCGGCTCAGAGGATGGGGGTGATGGGTTCACAGAAGGGACTCAAGGGCAGAGAGACAGCTTAAAGCTGGAGAGGGGTGGCTGGAGTATATGGGGAGTCAGAATGGGGCGACAGGCTGTCACTGACTATCCCTCCCCTGCCTCAGCATTTACAGGAGGCCCTGGGGCTGCCCGCTGAGAGGGGGGACGGAAATCCTGAGGGAACCCTTGAAGACAAAGGGACCTGGGAGACCGAGGAAAACCGTCCAGGAGAGGAGGAGGAGGAGGAAGCAACGCCTACCCTCTCCTTTAGCCCCAGCCCCTCTCCCACCCCTGAGGACCCTGTCACTTATATCCGTGAGTTATCATAAGCTCCGCCCTGACTCCAGGCCTCCGCCTTCATTAAAAAAAAAAAAAGAACCGTCCTCTCACTGTTCTGGGGGCCTTTCAAGTGCTCACCGCCAACCCATTGACCCCACATTTCCAGGAGCTCCGGGTCCCCGGCCTTGTCTCCCAAGACCCCGGGGTCACCGACCTTCCAGGACTCCCGAGTCCTCCCCCAACTCCGACCCCAGAAGCCCTAGATCCCCGTTGCCCCAAGTCCTCCGGTTCCCCGGTTCCGCCCTCAGGGTCCCCGTCCAGTGTGCACCCTGTCCGTCCGCAGTGGGCCGCCTGGCCAGCCTGGACGCAGGCCTGCACCAGCTGCACGTCCGTTTGCACGTGTTGGACACCCGCGTGGTCGAGCTGACCCAGGGGCTGCGGCAGCTGCGGACAGCGGCGGGCGACACCCGCGACGCAGTGCAAGCCCTGCAGGAGGCGCAGAGCCGCGCCGAGCGCGAGCATGGCCGCTTAGAGGGTGAGTCCGCACCGTGTGGGGCGGGGAAAGCGGGACGATCTGGATCGGGTGGGGAAGTGGTGGGAGGTGGGGCCCCGGAGAGGTCTGAGGACCATAGGTGTCAGGGATGAGGGGTTCCTGGAGACTTGGGGTATGTTAGCTGAAGGGGAGGTTAGAGTAACTGGGAGGGTGAATGCAGGGAGTAGTAGGACGGTGGGAAAGGCGCTGTCCTCACCACGTGGTTGAGTCGACCCCACTCTGGATGCGCCACGCCCCCTACAGTCCGGTTTCCAGAGTCTGGCACCGCCCCGACGGCCCTGACTCCGCCTCGTTGCTCCCGGGGATTCTGATTCCGCCTCCTCCCCCCCGACCTCTGAGGCTCTGACCGCGCCTTCTCCCGCCCCCGGAGGTCCTGACCCCGCCCACCCAGCTCTCAGAGGACCTCAACCCGCCCCCCAAGGCCCTGGCCCCACCCTCCGAGGTCCTGACCCCACCCCTCCCGCAGGCTGCTTGAAGGGGCTGCGCCTTGGCCACAAGTGCTTCCTGCTCTCGCGCGATTTCGAGGCGCAGGCGGCGGCGCAGGCGCGGTGCGTGTCGCGGGGTGGGAGCCTGGCACAGCCTGCCGACCGCCAGCAGATGGAAGCTCTCACCCGCTACTTGCGCGGGGCGCTGGCTCCCTACAACTGGCCAGTGTGGCTAGGCGTGCACGACCGGCGCGCTGAGGGCCTGTACCTCTTTGAGAACGGACAGCGAGTGACCTTCTTCGCTTGGCACCGTGCGCCCCACCCCGAACCCAGCGTCGCTCCACACCCGCTCAGCCCCAACCAGCCCAACGGCGGCGCACTAGAGAACTGCGTGGCGCAGGCGTCAGACGACGGCTCCTGGTGGGACCACGACTGCGAGCGGCGCCTGTACTACGTCTGCGAGTTTCCCTTCTAGCGGGACCGGTCCCCCGCCTCCTCACTCCATGCCACCCCCGGCCCGCGAGAATGCCTTTCCCTCCTTTCCTCCTTCCCTCCCTCCTTGCCTGGCTGGGCGATTCCGGGGTTTGGGAGGGTGGGCTCCTGAGGGGCCGGGACCCCTTCCTTGCCAGTGTTTTTTCTGGGAGTGACAAGCACCAGGTTAGGTCCGGCGACAATAAAGCCTTGTGGAACCTGACTTGAGGGGGCAGTGGAGGCACTTTTGGTCTTTATCTTGCCGCGTGACAGGCCTGGAAAGGCAAGACTGCTCTCTGGATGCCTGTCCTGTCCCGCTTTTACAGGTATTTGAACGCCATAATCAGAGTGATGGAGAACACAGGTGAATATGGACATATGGTCATCCATTCCTGCACACAGATGTCTGGAGTACATGTGTGCACACACTGCTGACGCCTCTATCCCCATCATGGCCCCACTCACGGCCTTTGGAACCCAGGACCTGTCAGTCATTGTCCCAGGTCTTGGTCCTGGTCAAAGAGATCTGGGAAACACAAGGGAGCTAAAGGCTGTTGTTCAGTGTGTCTCAAACTTGTTTGACCAGATGATACTGTAACTAAGATGAAAGATTTGGCACTGCCCCACTCCTTTCCTCTTCCCCCATCCCCAGGGGCATGTGTTGAGACACAAACTTGAGGACCTACCCAGCCTGGAAGTTTAGGCTTCCTCTCAGTGTTCCCTACTCCTTGCCTGTGAGGCCATGAGCCAGTTTTTCCTGCTCTGAGCCTCAGTTTCCTCATCTGAATATATGGGCCCAATCACCCCCTACCCTTGTATGGCCCTCAGAATGTTTAGGTGAACCCAGATACGTGAGCATTTGGGAAATGGTGGAATATGAACCACATGATATTCTTCCTTCCTCACCATTTTTCACACCTTTATTTCCTGGGGCAATGAGGACATCCAGGAGCTACCCCAGTGTCTCCCCCAATACTGGCATGGTCCTGACCCTGATACCATCATGGAGCTCAGAAACCAGTGTGACCCCATCTGTCTTTACATCTCTGGCCCTTCCTTTTCCCTCAGCCATCTTACCACCAGCATCAAGTGTCACCATTGGATCTACCGGTGGGAGGAACGAGCCACCTCTGTCATCCCCAAAAGCGGGGAGCACCATGACTGGGGAAGAAATGATTTCAGGAGTCATTTCTCAGCCCCAATCCCCCATAGGAGGTGCAGAATGAGAGACTGAAGGGTGGTCTCTGGTCAGGAAGGCTTTAATCGGGACTGACGACCTTGCTTAAATTCTTCCCCCACTGAGCTTGTTTTCCAGGCTGGATGTGGGGCAGCTGGATGTGTTATGATAGGTAACCAGAAGGCAGATTAAGCAGACAATGATGAGTATGTGTTATTGCCCAGGCAGGATCCGCCCTCACAGACCTGACATTCTGGAAAGTAAATGGACGGGGCAGTTCAATGGTTTTACTAGCCTGGATTCTGGAGCTAGATGTCCAAAGATCTAGTCCTACCTAGGCCACTTACCTACCGGGCAAACTTGGGTGTGTCCTCTCCTGACCCAGCACTGATAAACCAGACTGGGGTGGTGGGGCAAGGCTGGGTATACCTAACTCCGTTTCCCCAGCTTCCCCTAGCATGTGGGAGCCCTTTGAATAAAGGAAGATGACTGTGCGGGGCCAGGCTGGGAACCCTGAGATGACCTGGACCTCTAACTGCTTCTCTTCCTCCCTGGCCTCCCCTAGGCTCCCACGGGGTCCAGGCTTTCCCCATCACACCCTCGATCACTCTAGGTGCCACAGTGTCTGGTCAATGTCTGTCATTACCAGCCTAGGGACAAAGAGTCGTGGGTACACAGAGAGGCCAAGGTGGCGAGTGGAGGGCATTTGCAAGGATTGTTTAGGCATCCGGTCAGTTCGCCTGTACGCAGCAGTCTGGGCCGATTCCTGACTCAGGTATGGTAACCCTGACCCTCCTCCAAGAAGCCCTCCCAGGCCTCAACAAGGGTCAGCATTTGCCAATTCCTCCTCCCTGGCTCTCAGTGGAACACCTGCGGTTTGAGAGCTCGGAACCGCGGATCAGGAAAGCCTCAGCAGCTGGTTGGGAATCGATGGTTTAATGAATGCCAGGTAAGTGGTGGAGGAAGGGTGCAAGGCCTGAGACGACCCAGTCAGAGGAACAACTACGGGCGGGGCGCATGGACTTGCTAGGACTACAAATTCCAGGCGGCTGAGCGACAGGCACTCTACCGACTTTCAGAACCACGTTTCCCAGCAGCCATCGGTTGTCTCACGCAGGTCCTCCCATAAGCTCCGCCCTCTCTACGTGAGGAATTTCCTACGTTTCCCAGCAAGCTTAGGCCCACGCCCTTCGCAATAACGACAGAGATCAGCAGTCTCCAATCAGAGCTCAGACCCCCCTTCTCCCCCTCCCACTGGGCGTGGCTGCGAGTAACTCTGGGAAATGGAGTCCGGTCACGCGTCAACCGGGAGTAAAACCCGAAGCCACAGTCTAATATTCGTTTAGGCTTAAACTGTAACTGGCGCTCAGATCTTTTCAAAATGCGGGTGAATTTCCACGGGTGGATCATAACCATTAAAAAAAAATGAAGTAAATTCATAGAAAATATCAGAATGCGTAGAAAATCGTTAGAAATAGTTCTCAAAATTTCAGTGTCTAAGTATGTACTGAATTACAGTATAAAACAACAAAATTTTTTCTTTTGCCTGCAAAAAGTTTGCTAAACACTGATCCAAATCAACTTAGCTTTGAAAAACAAAGCTTTTAATCTGGAAATAATTTCAAACTTACAGGTAATTTGCACAAATACAAGTAGTATATATCCTTTACCCAGATGTATCTATTGTTAATAGTTTACCCTTTGCTTTATCGTTATCTTCATCCATCCATTCATCCATCCATCTATCCATCCATCCATCTTCCCCACCCATCCATTTCAGTCAGGTTTATTGACCCATTGCAATGAAGGAGACCACATCTCAAAGTAGCAGCTGTGATCAAGTTATAGGATTGGGGGAAAGAGAGGAATTTAGATGAAATTTAATTGAAACAGTATTTTGATAGCTGCAGAGCAAAGCAGGGGTGTGCATAAATAAGTCAACATCAGGTCTGGACTACAAAGTGGAATCAGGGTCCTGTTTCTTTGGAAACTACAAAGTTAAGATAAATGTGTCATGCTGTGCCCAGAAACTCTATTATAAAACTGCACCAGGGCTGCAAATTGAGGCTTCTTGTCTGTGTCAAAGTGCCTTAGATCTTCCAGGCAAGAACCTGATGTTTCATTCTTATGAATGTACTTTCAAACAGCAAAATTTCCAAAAGCTTGTGATTTTAGAGAACAAAGTTTCTCAGTGAGCAAGATAACAGTAGTCACTCACAAAAGTGGGTCGTTAGGACACATTACAGCTGTGGTGTGTTTCTGGGAGAGATGCTTCCTGTTAACTTTGCAACTGTCCAGAGATGGGTGGCGGGCAGATTTTTACAGTCCTAGTTGGTCATTGTTTCTCTCTCTCTCTCCATATAAATATTGGGTTGTCAGAAAAGTCATGACGCATTTTTGCAACGAAAAACATAGAGAAAATACGTCACGACTTTTCAAAAAACCCCATATATGGAGAGGTGCTTAATGTGGTTACCATCAGTGTCCAGACACTTCTGATTACAGTTGCAGAAGTCAAATGTGACTTGTATTCATCTTTTGTTATCGGTATATATTAATACAGTTTTTTCCTTTCTTAAAATGTATATATGGGCCGGCCGAGTGGCGCGTTGGTTAGGAGTTGGCTTGGGATGCCAGCTCTGAGCAGCAGGGCCCCAGTTCAGATCCCACATTAGGGCTAGTGACACTGCGCCCTCTATAGCTAAGATGGTGAACAACAGCTCAACCTGTAACGTAGGCTGCAGTGGGGCTGGTCGGGCAGCTGGCTAGCGCTTTCATGAGCTGCCGAGAGCCACCGTGAGCAGCTGTCCAATGGTTGGCGAGCAACTGCCTCACCCGGGAAGAGTGCAATGATAATACCAACATGGGCCAGTGAAGCGACGTCCTCCACAAGTAAAGTGAAGAGCAAAAGGCAGCAACTTGTCTGTTCCCCTTCCCCAATTCCCCAGCGCTGTTCCCTCCCCCAATTCCCCAATGGATAGATAGATAGATAGATAGATAGATAGATAGATAGATAGATAGATAGATAGATAGATATGTTTTTGTTTTTCCCTGAAGCATGTAAGGGTTAGTTACATACATTATGGCCCTTTACCCCCAAATACTTCAGTGTGTATTTCCTAAGGCTGGAGATATTCTCTCACATAACCACAGTAATCAACCTCAGTAAATGTAATGTTTACGTAATTCTTGTATCTAATCTGCCGGTGATATGCCAGTTTTGTCAGTTGACTCAAATGATATCCTTCACAGCTCCCTTCTCAGCTCAGAATCCAGCCTGCGATTCGGTATTGCATTTAGTTGTCATGTCTCCTTGAATCTGGAATATTTTCATATTTATGATATTGAAATTTTGGAAGAACAACTCACCTCCCTTTTAAAAAAACAGAAGTTCCTCACTTGAGTTTGCCCAATGTGTCCTCGTGATGGTTAGTTTCAGGTTACATATTCTCCACCAGCATATATGAGGTGAGGTGTGCCCTCCCTCTAGGGTCAGTTGTATGAAGTGTGTAAAGCATGGAATGGCTTTATTTTGTTGTTAAGTCATTTTTCTGTTGTCAGTAGTTTACCTTGAACATGACTCCTTCCTGGCTTCTACAGGTTTTTCCCGTGCTAGCCCCATGTTCTTCATTCTTTCATTTGAACAACCTCTCTGCTCCAGCACCAAGCCACCACCTCCTCCTAAAATGCCAGCCTCGTCATTGCTAACACCAACTTGCTTCTTTTCAAAGCACAAGTGTCTGTGTGAGCATGTGTTTTGGAAATTCCTGTGAGGAAGCAAGTAACCTTCCCCTCTCAATCCCTCTTGCCACCTATTCAAAACACAACTGGACTTCGGGTTTTGACCCTGAGCAAGTGACAGTTTCTGGCAGCCTGTGGGCAGGAAGCCACAGGTCGGGTGGAGTTGGGGGACAGAGGAAGCAAGAAGTAGAACACCAGCTTTGCCTTAAAAACAATCTTATTGGCAATTATTAATATCTGATACATGTAAAATATGTGTAAATATTGAGGTATAAAAAGACCACCCATTAGCCCACCACTCTATT